GGGCCGGCCGGGGGTGTTCAGGACGCCGGGGTGAGTCGGCGCCCGCCCGGGGCACTGTCCGCACTTCAGACGGGCCCGCCTGGGGAGACCGCGGGCCCACGCTCAGGCCAACACTGCTGTTGCTGTGCGGAATTTGTTGGTAATTTATGGACAAGGGACCTGGCGTTTTCATTGCATTGGGCCCCGCAGATTATGCTCCCGGTCGTAGGCGGCACGCCGGGGTGCGGAACACAGGACGGGGAGCAGGCTTGGGAGGCTCGGGGTGGGCACAGCCCTGTGCACGGAGGGGAAGCAGTGAGGGGAAGGCGGGGGGCGGGTTGGCTCTGGGCTGCAGCGTGAGGTGTCTGTACCTGTCCAGCTTGCTTTCAGGCCGCATCTCTACACCTCCATTCATCACCAGAGGACAGCCCTGCTGCTTTGCCAGAAATTGAATAGGTCCTTCCTGGTACCTCCCTTGTCCCCGTTGATCGCAAGAATCCCAAAATGACTCAGTTCCCAGGTGTCCAGCCTGCTTCCTAACCACAGGAAAGAACTGGAGTGTACCGGCCCCCCAGGGAGTCTGCCTAGGGCAGCTGCTGTTTGCCTTCTGACCCCAGGTCCAGGGGATGTGCCTTTACCCCAGGGAGAGAGTCTTCCTCAGCACTGCACAGTCATCCTCAGGTACTCCTGGGGGCTTCCTTGCACAAACTGTGGTGAGCTCCAGGTTGTAAAACATCCTCTCCTCTGACCAGTCCTCAACTGAGAGGCACCTGCTCTCAACAAGAGACCCTGTCTGGTTCCATGAATGGGTGGTGATGGTCCCCACACACAGCCCACTGGGCGCTGCCTCAGGCATCCCCAGGGAGAATAAGGTCCCTGTCAAGGGAACTGCATTTAAAATGACCCCCATTGTCCCACTCTGCCTTTCCCATCAAGACCCAGTTTAGCCAAACAATTCCCTGTGTCCCATCAGTTTATCACTTGAATCCACAAGACTGGGCCACAAGTAGCCCAGAGAATGTCCCTGACAGCAGCATTGAGGCTCTCAGGACAGAGACAAAGGTGGAGCAGAGGACCCCATCTGTTGGCCCTGCACTGACAAGTGCTGTCCAACCGTCTGGGACCTGCAGGGACCCAGCCTCAACCCTCGATCATGTGGACCATCCCAGCATGCACTGCTGTCCCTGCCCCAAGTCTGGGCAACACAATTGCCAGACTTTCCTGCCACTGAGAAGAGGCATTTTCATTTCAGGATCATCGGAGGGGAACACATGTTCCCCTTCAGGAAGGCCCTGGATTCCTGAGCCCTGGGCCATGCTCCCACCTTCACCCTGGCCCTGCCCCAGGGGGACAGTGGGGAAAGGGGGATTGAGGTTGGGCAGGCCAGGGTTCCACCTGCCCTCCTTGCCTTCTCTGGCCCTGGGGTAACTCCCAGGGGCCTCTACCAGCTGGCTCTCTGTCACAATTCAAGATCCTCTCCCCGGGATTGGTCCTGTCCTAAGCAGACCCTGTCCCTGGCAGCCACCAAGGGAAGTGAGCTTTCCTTCAGGCCACTTGGGGCCCTTCTCAGGATGTGTCTCTTGTGGG